TTTCTAAGGATAATCGCCTTTTCTACAACAAATTTTGTTTCAAATTTTTATTGCTTTTGGCGTGATGGGACATATGTGTCCCATTGGTCGGTAAAGGTAAATAATTACCACTGATTTCCCTGTATTTCAACCACTTTTCGCGAATTTTGGAACACACAAATTTACAAAAAGATCGTTAAATTCGTGATTAAATGAGCACAACAAAGCACGATTCAAACCATTTTTGGTTTAAAACGATTCTATAAATTTTAAAAATGGAAAAGATTTAACACGTAGTTCTTATGGGAGACATGTTTTTTTCATAGAAAAATAAAGGTAAATAGTTACCTTTACCGACCAATGGGACACATATGTCCCATCATTTTTTTCATATTTGCAATTAAAAAAATTAATTTTTGATAACACTTTTGTTAATATTTTTGGGGTCGCTGAGCACGAATCTGCAATCAGAATTGCAAAATTCCCAGCCGTTCAGTTTTGGTCGTCAAAGGGTTAAGGCAAACTGATGTTTTTTGCAAAAATAATGGGAACCTTCGAACAACCAAGCACCCACTTGCCCATAAATTTGGTCCAAAACCGACATTTCTTAAAATTTTTGAAATTCTGTTCGAAAATGACATTTTTATATGGAAATTGGTCAAAATAGTTATTTTCAAAGCTCAGAAGTGCTACGAAAAGAGTTTTCATTGAAATTTTGGTTAAATACTAAGCGGGAGGTAAACCAAATTGCCGCGGAGCGGAAAAGTTTGGATTACGTATGTAATTCGTTTTTTTTTTTTCATATTTATTTAGTGTTGACGGTCAATTGGGACGGGAGGGAAACCTCAATTCATTCAACAATAAATTGCGCGTAAAATACACAAATTAACACGACCGTAAGCACAATTTTATGCACAAACGAATACCGAAAATTGTCCCAAATCGATCACGAAAATCAACGATCGTTAATCTCTTGAACATACATCTTTTGTCAACATGTAACTCAGATATAAGATTTTTTTTGCTTTTTTTTATTGTAATAAAAAAAAGTATTTAGTTCTCCTTTGAATGAAAAATACGATCTTCCTTGTCCCACATTTCGATTTGTCGTCACTTGTTTGCATTCATCCAAAAAAATCAAATCAACGATGGAAAATTTTTGAAATCAATACGTCGTTTGATTTGTATGACGTACACACGATATGGGCTCACACGTTTTGCAAACGCCATTTATTGTACCGATGTCAAGCTTACAATTCGGCAAGAAAGAAATGGCAGCAGTTTGAGATGCTGCGGAGAAAAAGGCGAACAAATTGAGTTATGTCAATATTAAATCACTGAAAACAAAAAAAAATTCGGATGTATGACAATTGACACTGCCCATTAAGAGAGCTCTTAATGACACCTCTTAAAAAGACACCGTGATTTGAACTTTTGATTAACATCAACGGAATCCTGGGCTAAAATCGTGATCTGAAATTGGGTCGATTTAGCTTTTCTCTCTTTCTCATTGAAAATGACAAAAACTGCATCGAGCATAAGACCTTCTTCGGCGAATTTTTTTTCTTTTTCTCTCTTTTTTTATTTTTTTCCATTTTTTCATCTACAAATAGCAAACCCAATGACCGAAATCAAATCAATTTTCTTCTAAATTTGTCCATCATTTTATTCATATTCCTTTCAATTTCACTTCGTCGTCAAATGCCTTAACTCTGACGTTCAAAACAGCCATCACATCGATAATCTGCGTAATAATAATGCAGAATACGTAAAATTTTGGCTCAATTAAAAATGATCATCATCATCATCATCAAAGTGAACTTGAGTGGTTTTCTTTCGTCGTTATTTTAAAAATAGATCTCATTCATATAAATAATTCCGCAGTTTTGTGATTCTTCAATTTCTCATATTTTTTTTTTGCTGGCTAAAATCGCCATAAAAATTGTTATATATACACTTAGTGTAACAATTGTGCCAAAAAATATGTGCAGCAAACATGAAATGGAAAACTATGAGAAAAAAAAATGAACGCGACATCAGCGCAAGTGTCAAATGTTTGCTCTAGTCAAACAAATTTACAGCTCAAATGAAATTTCTCACATTTTGATAATAAAAATGTGCGTCTAATGGCCGGTTTTTGTTGGTTCTTCTTCTCTTCTTTAAAGGGCGCCTTTGAAATGAATATTAAATGTAGACAAACCCGATGGCAAGCGGTTTTTATAGGTGATAGATGAAGTGTTTACATCGGGCATTTGTTGATCTGAACACAACGTTTATTATTTCAATTATCGAAAAAAAATATGATCATTGAATTGTGTCGTCAATTGTTTGTGTGTATGTGTGTGTGTGTGACACACACTGTGTGTTTTGTTGTCGCAAATTATTTGGCTGCTAAAAATATGCAACAGCACACAATAGTGTCGTACACATTTTAGAAACGGAAATTTTAAAAGGAATAAAAGCGAAGCGTAAAAGTAAAATTCACGAATCGAAAAATGTCGGTGGTCGGTGCGCCAACTGAATTTCTGTGAGCCGTCAAATCGTCAGAACTCTCATTCGTTTTGTGTATTTCAGCTGGCGCGCGCACATTGACTGCGAATTGTTTATGTGCGAAGCAAGTTTCTCGATGTGTCTCTCTCTGCCAGTCGGTCGATTGCGATCGCGATCGCGCGCACACGCGCACGCGTTCATCTGAATTTGACGTACAAGTAAATGAAACGGCCATGGATTCATTAAGTATGTGCGCACCAATGCTGTTTTGTTGTGTGTGATCATATTCGACGGTCTTCAAACAAAAAACGCGCCTATTGAACACGCTCTCGCGCGCCCGCATTTCAATTCGCTTCAATCTTCAAGTGTAAACACTTGCTTGGGCTTATAAATGATTTTCTTCTAATTTTTCATTCATCGACAAAATAACGAGCAAGAGACAAATGTGCAACGCTTGCAACAATTTGTGATTGACTGTCAAATGGATCCGATTGATCCACAATTAAAAACATAACAACGATAAACAAACGATTCACGTTTGCTGACAACGATTTTCACTTGTGCGAAAACTTAGGTCTCATTGAACTACAAAACCTTCTATCGAATGGAATCAACTTGAATCAGAACAATTAGAACGAGTGCAAGAGCAGGCTCGCTCACTTTTTTTTCAGAAAGTATTTAAACCCGATTTTTCTTACTCTTTTTATTCGGATTTATTCGAAAAACGAGGGAAAAACGCCGAAACAAACACTGTAAATATTTACAAACAAAATTTACGGCGATGATGTGAATGACATTATGCTTTAGTTATGATTGTAATTACGACAACGAAGACGACGATGAAGAACGAACGAAAAAAGATCGTACGTAGTTTTGGCTGTGTGTAATGAGAGAGTGATGCGTTGAATGCAAAATATTTGATTGAAAACCAGAACTGGTCGGATTTTCAAAACAATTTTTTTCTGTTGTTGTTTTCGTTCTCGGTTGCATGACGTCGGTTGGTGTACAATATTTACAAGCATAAAATATCGTTTATATTCATCACCCATTCCCGTTTGCAGCATGAATATAGCACCCTTTCCAATATCAATTTATCATTTAAATGATCGATATTTGACTCGGCTTAATTTATGTGCTGATTTTTGGCTTTGGTCAATTGAAAATGCAACAAGTATTGAAGCAGTCGCAATGACTGAGCGGTAGTTAAAAGAAGAGCTTTTGCGCATTAGAAGAGAGAAATGAGTGCAGTTTTCAGGCCTCAAAATAAAAGAAAACGAAGCATTTTTCAGCAAACAAATCGATTTTTAATGTCTATCCTCTGAAACCAAATCGATAACCATAGTTGGCAATGGATCAAAAATGAAATCTCATTTGAGATAGATACAAAATCGATGTGTCACTCATTGCTAAAATGTTTAGCCATTAGAATATAAATGATATCGTTTCATGCTTTACGCACATTTTTCTTCTCGTCGTCGTCATCGTTGTTGCAAAAGCATAAACAAATTGAACTCAATCGACAGATGAAAAATGTATTCGGATAATTTCAAAGCGACACAAACAACGCAAGCTGCGTATATGGCAATAAAACCACATTTTTTTTATCGTTAATTAGTTCTTTTGATACGATGAGCGGGTCGATCGGGCGCGAATGTTGTATGAGCACGGAAAAATTTACTATGTATGCTCACCCAAATGTCAGTCAAGTGCGCGAATGCGCGCGCTAGCGAGTTGTCAAAGCAGCATTCTGCATCGCATAATCTCATTCTGTCTCTCTTTGTCCCTCTCGATCCTTCGATCACAGCCATAGAACCAGTGGTCACTAGTGTCTACTAGTATTGAGTGGTTTTTGGAGAACAAACACACGAAAAAAGGCACGACATTTTCAAATTGGCATTGTCGCAGCGACAGAGATGGCTAGAGCCAGGCAGAAAAAAAAAACACACACACACTCTGAACAATTAAGATCTTGACGATCATTCGGGCATCAGCAAACATGGACATAAAATCAACTTTTTGAAGTAGTTTACACTTGGCGCTCTCTCTCTCTCTCTATCTCTATGTCTCCATCGTCAAACTATTAGAAATTGTGTTTAAATGCAAATCTTTTTATATGCGAAGCAGCAAACAGATACTGTTTCAAACACTGTGAACACCACAATACACAATCGGCCAGTTTTTGCCAACTGGTTTTCTTTTCATGTCGATAACAAATTAGCAATAATCAAATTATCAGAATTGTGCATCTCCTAATCCAAAACAACTGGAGCTGTCTAAGCTGAACGAGTGTGCAAACACACACATACACGTACACAATGTGTGCCTGTGTATGTTGTGCGAATTCAAAGAGGCACAGTGCTGGACTACGGAGAGTTCGTCGTCAAATGTTAAAATTGGCCATGCTATCGCAGCAAAGTGTCTTTGAACCGTTTTTGTAATCATTGTAATCATCATAAATCATTTTCAATTTAGTTGTGAATGTGAGAATTTCATGAGATGTGTTTTTTTTCTGTTTGTTTCTATTCGCATAGGCTGAAGATCTGTTGGACGATATTCTATCGTTTGAATCGAGCTCGCTGGCCGACTCCTTGAAATTGGATGGTACATATGGTGGTGGTGGTAGCGCAAACGGTGGTACCAATGGCAGCAACTCGGATCTGATCATCAAACAGGAACCATCGAACGCGACCGACGCTGAAATGCATGCACTCGCCAAGGATCGACAGAAAAAGGACAACCATAATATGAGTAAGTTCGTTTGACTCGATGATCAATACAACTTTTCACAGTTTGATACATTTGCGGAAACTTGTTTTACTCATGTTCAATTCAGAAGTGTTACGCTTGATTTGATTTGAATTTTTTTTTTCAATTGGTTTCATTTCAAGTTGCATTTTTTTTTATCGATATAACTGCAATTTTACACATTTTGTTCTATCATTTCATTTAATTTTTTCATGCATTTGTAAAATGATTGCAAGAAAACAATTTTACTGAACATTGTTGTTCACACATTTTGTTTACATTGATTCCATATGCATTGAATGTGATCTGAAATAGAATGAACATAGGAATTCATTAGAATATTAAAGTAATACAATGTAACACTGAAACATGTATCGTCTGAATGCATTATCATAATAACAATAATTGACAAAAATGCATTAATGACCATTTTTATTGGCCATTAAATAGTCGAACGTCGAAGGCGATTCAATATCAATGATCGGATCAAGGAATTGGGAACGTTGCTGCCGAAAAACAACGATCCATACTATGAAGTGGTGCGTGATGTACGGCCAAACAAAGGCACCATTCTCAAATCATCGGTGGACTATATAAAATGCTTGAAACATGAAGTTACCCGTTTAAAACAAAATGAATTACGCCAAAAACAAATCGAACACCAAAATCGACGCTTGTTATTACGAATACAGGTAAACCTCCCGAACTTTTGATTAATATTCATTTTAGGGGAATTATATAATTAATTATATATTACTCAAACCATTTCATTGATGTTTGAAACTAATGAATTTGTTTCGTCTTTTTCGATTTGAACAAAAACAAATTCAAACAAATTAGGAATTAGAAATGCAAGTCAAATCACACGGTCTAGCGATATCAGACTACAGTAACTGTAATAATAACAATAACAATAGTAATACGTACAGTTCACAGCTAGTGAACTCATTTTTAAATAAATCCAGTCCGACACGCCATCATCCACCACCACTTTTAGAATTGTCGGGACACATTGTCGGGAAGGTAAAGGGCATTTTTTTTTAGTTTGTCTCTTCTGATTAATTGACATGTTCATAAATTATAAATTAATATTATAACCAGATGCCAGATGTGGTATCCGAAGCGGCAACATTGAGTCTAAGTCAAATGGAGGATCTAATCGAAGATGATCATCATCCAGTGCATGGTGACCCAATGCTATCGCATCACTTGTTAAATTCACCTCGTTCACCGTCATCGCCAACCTCATCATTACACAGCAACGACTTAAACCTCAACAACCATTCGAATGCAAGGTGAGACACAGATTGACATCTCCTTCTCTCTCTCTCTCTCTCTCTCTCTCTCTCTCTCTCTCTCTCTCTCCTTCAAAATCTAAAATCAAATCTATTTCATTGTGGATTTTTGTTTTTCATTTCCCGTTTCAGTATCGGCCACAATGGTATGAATGGTAATTGCGGCCTGAAGAACGATTCAAATATCGAAATTCAACATTGTGATCCATTGCTATCGTCGTCAAATCCACAGAATCAAGCGCATCATCCAGCGAATAGCATACAAAATCATCTGCATCATCATCATAATCATCATACGCAAATGGACATTGGCAGTTGTATTGCGGACTCGATTCTCGGTTCAACGCATAATTTACTAGTAACATCACCGCATCATTCTCATGTAGACTCGATACTATCGTCACCCGACACCGATTCGTTAGTCAGCGACATTGATATGGCGATGACGTGACAATAAAAGTTACGGAACGCATTTGTCCGACACACACCCCCGATACACATCGATCGATCAGCTTAAATGTGTGTGGCCAGCAGTATCCGCAACAGTTTAAAACACTATTTCAATGATTAATACATTTTAAAAGAGAGACGGAGAGAACATAATATACAAACCATTTTTATTTTTTTTTTTTGCAATAAAGTTACGAGATACCGAAATTAAGCCTCACTCCTTAACTAAAACCATTTATGATGTGGTCACAAAAACAAAATGATAAACGTTGCACACATATCATGTATCTATATTTTTTTTTAATTTGAGTTCAAAAGAATGAAAAAGAAAATTAAACTTTTATTTAGACAGAAACAACTCAAAATTGCTCAACCAGACAAACCGGCACTTTTGAGATGCGTTCTCTTTACATGGGCACAAAAATGAAAATACACCGTACCAGAGCTGATAGCAGGGATTTAAGCTTATCGAATCCATTCCTACGTTTGAATTGGAATTTTTCCTATTCTTTTATTCTTTCTGTTTTTGTTTTGTTTAAATTTGAATAATGCACATCGAGCTTTTGATTCGTAGTTTCCTTTTTGCCAGAAAAGAAAAAGAAAAAATTGATTAAAATCACCAGAGACAAATTGTGTGATCTTTTGGTGCCATCATTTTTTTTCCTCTCTGTGTACTTGTCGATGAACTATATAACGAATGTACTTCAGTTAGAAAACACACACACACACACACTTCATTTAATCTCAGTACGAGCTACGCACCGATATTTTCAACGCGGCTAATTTTCTTTGATTCGATATCGATTTTAATAATTGTAAATTAAACTATTGAAGAAAGCGAAGAAATTGCTCATTTCGATTTGCTCTTAGGCAAGAAAAAAAGCTTCACAAACGATCACATTTTATTTAGCTGCCAGCTCTGGATCATCTATCAAACTAAATTATTATATCCAACGATCAATTGTAAATCACTTCGATTGTAGAACAAAAGAGACAAAAGCAACAAACAATGAATAGCAATCATTTACACTCACTTAGAAATAGACATTGAACTTTTTTTTTCAAATTGGAACACATTTAAATTTTTGAAGGCGGAATAGTTATTTTGCTCGAAATCTGTTTTCTTCTTTGTTTCTTTGTTGTAGTCGTCGTCAAATTTGGTTCTGTTTTTCTTTCTGCTAGAAAAATGTTGCAAACAAGAAAATATTCATTCTTCAGAAGTGCATCCATGGCCACAAGTGATTTGCACAAATTGTAATTTATCATGGAAAAACAATTAAGACGTTTGCTTTGAAGCGGATTTTTTGTTGTTGATTGTAATCTTTGAAAAATGATGTATTTTTTTTCTTTTTTCGTACAAAACTAAGTTTTATTATTGAAAAAAATTTCTTCGACGACATTATACTTGAAAACCTGTAAACTATAGTTAAAACATATATGTTTTTTTTTTAAATTATGTAAATTATACTGAAAGCGACAATCCTTGCAAAAACTTGAAATGTCGAGAAAAATTGAAATGTCGTCATTGATATAATGACGCAAAAATTGTTTTCTACGTAATAGTTGCACGTTTAATTTTTTTTTTTGCAAAAATAATTGATGTGTGAAAATAAAGAGAATATTCTAGGCAAATTGGAGAAAAAAAATTTACCCATAAAAATAAGGAAAATTAGTGGTAAGCAACGAATTTCTAATTTTCCCGATCACATTTTCTTGTGATTTCCCGCGAATTTATGTTGAACAAAAAAAAACGTGGCCATTGGGTGTATAACATTCCAATTTCAAAATATGCTTCCAGAATCTATTTATTCAAAGAACGTTTGATGAATGTGTGTGTTTTTTTCTTCTAATTTTTATTTTCGGGTTGCGAGTCAATCAATTTCGACAACTCATCATCAAATTTGTTCGCAAAGATTGTTACGACGATAGAGAGAAAAAAAAATTAACGAAAAGGAAGGAAAATGTATACCAAGCATTGTGCAGTGTTCGCTAGGTTCGAACACATTCAATTTGAATGTAGTACGGTAACATCTCAAGTTAGGTAGATTTTAAGGCATTTTTGAATAAGGGATGATGAGACATTGCGAAGCTGAACACCACTGAACACCATTTCAGTGTTGAGTTTAATCATTCATCGATGGCGATGATGATTTGTGGGTGAATTGTGCAAGATTAAATAATCTAAAATTGAGAAAAAATTTGTCAGCACATTTAATTTCGAGCAGCAGAAATTTTTGTAGTCAAATCATCAAGGTGACATTGCTGCCGATACTTTTCTAGGACCAATTCGAAAAAAAAGAAAATAAAATTAATCAATTTCCTGAATTTTCACCGACAAAACATCCTATCGCCTCCATAAACCGTCGTCAGTCAACAAAAGCAATTACTTAAGTAAAAAGAAAAATATCAAATTAATACGTGAACAAAACGTTGCGCTAATCGTTCGCCCTCAAAACTTTCGACGCAAGCGATCAGAGCGCAAGCGAACGAATGAGCGCCATTCAAATGTAGAGACATGTACAATTAGGTAATAAATATCGTTATCTGAGTAGAATATATCTTTAAAAGCAATATGTTAAGGTGCAAATAACAAATACACACAAAACACGCAAACAAAGTATTACGTTAACATGTAGAGAAAAGTTCTTTTTTTCTTCTTTCTAAATAGATAAATAATATAATGAAGCAAACTATTATTTTTGTGAAATCGACAATCAGATGTATCATACAATTATAGAATAAATAGTATACAAAACGATCAAGCTCAAATAAAGTTTTGATTTCATTTTATTTCATCATCAGCACTTTTAACGTGTAAGAGCAAACAAAACAATTATTTCCAAAAGAATGTGATAACTTTCGGTGAATATAACTTATCGACTTTTTTGCAATTGAAGCTTTCACTTTTGATCGAGTTTCTCTAGATTTTTTCCAAAATATATAGTTATTCGCTTTGAGCATAGATTCTGATACCAAAAATTTCAGATAGGGTCAGACCAAAAATTCATGATGGAGTCAAAAAAATAATTGCAGGGTTTTCGGAAAAAAAGTGAAGACCAAAAAAAAGGTGCTCACTTTTGGAAAATAAGTCGAAAAATGTCGATGGGTCAAAAAATTTCGTTGTGGGTCAAATTTCGCCAGCAGGGGTCAAGATCAACGAGATCAGACTATGTCAGAATCTATGGCTTTAAGAGGAAGTAGTTCAAATGATACCTAAAATTCAAACATTATTACTTTCTTTATGGCAATTTAAATTCCTTCAATTTATGGCAGAGCATTGAATCTGCTGGTTATGTAGTGCTGCTGTTGAAAAGCTGCTTTCAACAGTGGCTGTTGGTTACGTTCTTGTGCATGCGGCACACTGTAGGTCTGGAGCACCAACTTATACATGCAGACGGAGCTATGTGCATACTACTTGCGTGCATGTTCATTGTTCATGCCTGTTAGAGATGATGCGCGGAGCCTTCAGTGTGTCGCATGTCCCTGGAAAGGGAAACAAGCAGACCGAAACCTTCCCAATCAAAACCTGCGCGACTTTTTCACGGCCTACAGAAATTGTTCATCGAAGTTCATTGTCAATACTGTCTTTATCTAATTGGTAACATTTTCGGCCACGTCTTTCACTACTGATGACACTTTCAAATACTGAATGAAACCGACGACCACACAGCTGATTTGCAGAAACGGTAATTTCCCTCCGCTGCTTATGATTTACTTGAAAACCATGGCCTTCAACTGAATCAGACAAAGATAAAGATGACAAACGAGTGTTGTTTACATTTACGATTTTGATTTTGCATTGGATCAAAAACAAAATGAAGTCAAGCCAATGGGACATTTTCCGTAAATACATACATATCCCGAATCTTTGGTTCAATCCGACCGGGCAATCAAAATTCATTGTAACAATTCATGGAAGCGTTAAAAAAATCTTGACGATTTATCTATACAAATAACGAACGATCACAACCGTTTTTGTATTGGGTGTATAACTTGCCGTTTTCCAACAGATGGCTCCAGCGGTAAGTGCTGGTGAAAAATATCAGCTCTAAAACGTCATACGGTAAGCTTGGGCATTTGTCAACAACACTGCATCGTTAGATTTGTGAATTTTTATCGACATCATATTTTTTTTTCAATTGAAAATGTCAACTTTTGAGCCAAATTCGCGTCATTTGCGGGAAGTTTTGCTTTTCTTCTTTAATTCGAAGAAATCTGAAAGCCTATATAAACAATGTTATTATATTTGATAGTATTTGAGTCGATGTCAATGACGATGTGGCAGCGCCACTTATAGAGATTCCTTATTAAAATAAGTGGAACTATTGAGTGCGTGCATCATATCGCACGTAAATTTTCAATATGACAGCGCTCATAGAATTGAAAAGTTAACCAATTTCGTAGTCACAAATTAGTGGAAGAGAGAAAATTTTCGAGGACGCCGATTTGGAGGCATTGCTGGATGAAGATCCATGTCAAACGCAAGAAGAGCTCGCGGAATCATTGGGAGTCACGCAACCAGCCATTTCGAAACGATTGAAAGCATTGGGATTCATCCAAAAGCAAGGAAATTGGGTGCCACACGAATTGGAGCCAAGACACGTCGAAAGACGATTTTGCATGTCTGAAATGTTGCTGGAACAAAAAAGAGTCATTTTTGCATCGTATTGTGACTGGCGATGAAAAGTGGATCTACTACAATAATCCAAAGCGCAAAAAATCGTATGTCAAGCGCGGCCAACCAGCCAAATCGACGCCAAAGCGAAATATTCACGTTTCGAAGGTAGAGCTCTCTAATTGGTGGGACCAAAAGGGAGTGGTGTACTGGGAGTTGCTTCCAAGTGGTCAAACAATCAAAAAACCTCTCTACCGAACACAATTGATACGTTTGAAGCGAGCGTTGAAGGAAAAACGGCCAGAATGGGAGACCAGACACGAGTCATTGATTTTCCACCATGACAATGCTCGGCCACATATTGAAGCATCGGTCACAATCTACTTAGAAAATAGCGGATGGGAAATTTTTCCTCACCCGCCTTATAGCCCAGACCTTGCTCCTTCCGACTACCACTTATTTCGATCGATGCAGAACGCCCTTACCGGAATACGCTTCACTTCAGTCGAAGGAATCAAAAATTAGCTTGATTCGTTCCTGGCCTCAAAAGACGAGAATTTTTTTTGGGACGGAATCCATAAATTGCCTGAATTGTGGGGAAAAGTCATAGCTTCCGATGGACAGTACTTTGACTAAATTATATTGAACAAATTTTTCACAATAAAGCCTCAAAAATTGAAAAAAACGGCGGAAGCAAAGTTATACACCCAATATATTCAATGCATGTTCCTGCATATTCGAGACTGTCACTGGAAATAAATTGGGACGCAGATTCCAGTGCCGGTATTCTAACACCATTTCGAACACTTTGTTCGGAATTATTACGAGCGATCAATTGTATTTTGGAATGTGGTATCCAAACGTTATATATGGATTTGTCTCTTTTTCATTGATTGAACGTTTGGTTTCCACCTTCCAAAATACAATTGATCGCTCGGAATAATTCCGAACAAATTGTTCGGAATGGTGTTAGAATACCGGCACAGTTTCATTGACTGTAACCTGCCACGCTTCGACTACGCACTTAGCCTGAGGAATCATCTTAACGCTGTATCCATTGTTCGATTGATTAAAAATAATGCATATCTTGTTGTTCGTTGGTTCCCATTATTTTCGAGAATAAGTAGAGGTTTTCTCACATAAAAGAATTGAATTACGCATATTTCAGGTACCTCTCCTATAGAATAACCGTTTTTGAGATCATTTTCTACACCAAACACATATTTGAAGTTGTAGTAATGAACGGAAATGATTGTTTTTAAATTTATTATTTTTCTTTATCTTATTCAAGTAATAATTCCCTACTTAAGGATTTCTCTAATTTGTTGCTTTTACGATTTACCAAGGGGAGCTATTAACCCTCTAATGCATACAATCGCCTCTAGACGGGCAACATTTGAACGCCTGTAGAACATTAACCATACATCGGATCACATTGCTTCAGAGGGAATTTTTATTCGTCAATGTTTTCTCTTTATTTTTGTCTCTGGCAATATTTGTCTATGTAGTGTAATTGTAAAGTTATAAACAAAAATGTGTGCAAAAACAAAAATTTGACCAAATTAATTATTCGAACTCCAAATTAGACACATTTTTGACACTTTTAAACAATGGATTTGATTGTTCTCTTATTCATGTCAATGGCATTTCCTGACTAAACCATGAGGAATGCAGGAATATGTATATTTTTTTAATTAACTATGGCCAAAAATCAACCAAGTACCAGTACTCCCAGCCCTGGGAAAAATTAATGCATTAGAGGGTTAAGCTTTTGAGCAGAACAAACGTCATCTAACGATGACATTGCTGTACATTTAGATAGTATAGCTTGAACAAAAGTTCTTGCTATACTATCCTATATTATATTTGTGTGATCGAAGCGTTTAGTGTAGCAACTCTGTAAATTGCATTTGTATGCACCTTATATAAATGAATATCTCTCTTTAAAATAATTGTTTGATTCAGGGAAAATCAACTTCGTTTTTTTATCGAGCTGGGTAAGACATGCCAATCTTTTGAATTCTGTATTTCCCACAAAAAAAAAATGAAAAATGATTTTTCAATCCACGTAGAAGACACACACAAAGTTCGAAGGCTTATTGAAGAGGGGGTGGATGTAAATTTTACGTATTCTGATGGACAACGGCCATTTCATGTGGCAGTTGAAATTGGTAGGAATTTGGTATCTCACCGATGTCACCAGGCTTAAGCCAAACACATTTGCAGATTGCCAGCTTCATGCTTCATTTGTGTGGTTTCATTTCAACTAAAGCCATTTATAATAGGTCGGAATAGTTGTCAAATTATCGAAATATTTTAAATAAACCCTCATTGATGGTGGTAGAATCTGCGAATGTGCGTTTGGCCCATGCTTTCATTTATCTTCTGGAATTCTCAGGTGATATGAATACAATTCGCTTGCTAGCGAATAGTGCAAACTTGACGTATCGCAACGCTGCGGGATATACACCGCTTCAACTAGCCGTTTTAAAAGGTATTTCACAATTTACCGCACAAAGCATGTTGTTGGTTCAAATGTATTCCACTTGTGCCAACAGACAATAAAGACATCGAATCCCTGGTTGAGAAGAACGCAGATCTGAATATTCAAGACAATTTAGGACAAACGTCTCTTAATATCTCCATCGCATTGGGTACGGCTTATGTGGGAACCAGAAGTTTTTTCATACGGGAAACAATTCTTAAAAAATTTGGATATACAGTTTTCATTTTTTTTAGGACAAAGAGGTATTACTGAATATTTGATTGAACGTGGAGCTGACGTTCGAAGTCAAAAGTTCGAACGTTCAGAAAACTCTCGAACGAACGAACAATTTTCCACTGTTCGAACTTTTCCCGTTTCGAACGTTCGAAAAAAAATTTCATAAAAAATATTTTGAACTCAACTCAACGTTAATAGTTACAAAAAAAAAATTAATAAAGCAGTAAAAAAAAATTAACTTCTAATTCTTGAAGAATTGAACTCTCAACCAACGGAACACACATCCAATAATGATACCCGAGTAGCAAAAATCTCAGGCTTGCAACCAAAATTTGTTATAAATCGGTTTCAATTCAGTTATTCGCAACAAAATATGTTATAGAACAGTTGCAATGTGGTTTTTAGGTAACAAGGCATCCGCTTTGTTATATATAAG